AAAAAAAAAAAAAAAAAAAAAAAAAAGAGAAAGAAACCCTGACATTGAGAATCAAAACAAATGTGTTTGACGAAATAGTAAATTGGACAGTTTTTAATGTTGACTTCATCTTCACTCTGTACCCGGCTGTGACATCTATAGCTCTGCAGACTGTACTATCAATCTTTTTGATCGGCGGAATCTTTCTGGTGTTCAAGGGAAAGCCGGACCAATATGCACGCTCAGACATGGAGCTGCTGCTGTCCTCTGCGTCCAGGTAATATTTTTTTTTTTTCTTTTGTTCCTTTTTTCTTTTGGTTTTAAAATGTGCGTCGATGGACCACGGATCAGATATTAAACTGATCAGAAGGCTCAGAACAGATACACTGCACTTTATCTTTGCCAGAAGGCCGAGCCAGGTAACTAAAGAAAAAAGAAGAAAGAAAAAATCCAGCACAAGTGCACCACCTCCTCCTCTTGCACCTCATTTTTGAACAACTAATGGACATAGTCGGTCGTTCCTTACAATCTAATCATTTTGATGATAACTGTGACCTGGAATGTTGCCTGCCTTATCCATCGATGCATCTGATCCATTACTTGAACTTCATGCACTGCATTCGATGGCAGAAAAAGAGTTCCTACGATGACATGAAAGCGAGGGTCAGGGCACGGCAGTGGGTATGGTGTGGAGAGATGGAGGGTGGGTGCAGTGCAGCGGGTCGGACATCTTTGTGGAGGAAGATCGGTTTCGACCATGGGGTTCACTGATGGGTTTTGAGTCTTTTGACCGTGGGGGTTGGCAACATGTTTTGAACATGGGGGGCTTCAACAATAGGCTTTGATCATGGGGGGTTCAACGACGAGTTTTAACCATGGGGTTTGACGATGGGTTTGGGTTTTGACCATGGTGTTACCATCCGGATGTACGCATCCCTTTCCAGACAGTCCACGTCTGGATGTCCTGCCGGAGGTCTGGTCCGTTAAGTCTGGAAGGGATTTTTTGGGGGTGATTATAGTTTTGAACATTTTGCTGGCCCTTTCAGTTAGCCACAGAGGGTCGGGCTGGGAGTCAGAGACTGAGTCTTGGAGAGAGAGAGAGAGAGAGAGAGAGAGAGAGAGAGAGAGAGAGAGAGCGTGAGGCGCCCCCTCTTGTTGCAATCACTAGCAGGTAAGTCTGACTCTCTGAGCTAAGCTCCTCTCTCCTCTCTTGCCACAGGTTATGGCATCTCCTTCGTACCTCTCTCTCTCTCTCTCTCTCTCTCTCTCTCTCTCTCTCTCTCTCTCTCTCTCTCTCNCTCTCTCTCTCTCTCTCTCTCTCTCTCTCTCTCTCTCTCTCACACACACACACACACACACACACACACACACACACACACGGCACCCAAGGAACAGGGTTCCGACAAGCTTCAGGTATTATTTCGAATAACGAGAGAGAGAGAATCGACTGCTTGTTTGCTTGCTTTTCTTGATTCCCACCACAGTCTTGTGTCCATGAAGGTGGTCTTCTTTTTTTCTTCCCTGGAACAAGAAGTCTGAAAAATTTAGAAAAACGGTTGAAAAACCAACATTTTCAGAGACTGAAATTTGTCAACAGAGTAGTGTTCAAAGAAAGGACAAAAGTTGGCGATTTCTTTTTTTTTTTTGTTTTGTAACTTTTGTAACTTTGGTTTTGTTTTACCACCAGTACGTTCGCCAGCCATTTTTCCTCCGACGCGGCCGTCCACACGCCGCAAGTTTCGGGGGTCCGCAACCAGAGTGAAATGGCAGGCGGCACCAGCCAAAAGAAATGACACGCCTGTCCGTTTTTCCTTTGGCGCGGTGGGCATTTTCCAGGCTCGGCAGGGGAAGGGTCCAAAGACTCAAAAGTACTGGTGGTTTAAACCACCAGTACCTCCATGTTGTTAGGCTGTTAACGAGGTGAATGAATTGGTGCGCCGTGGAGGTCCATATCCATTTGCCTCAGAGCCTCCCCATAGGGGGCCTAAGATCCCCTGGGCTACTGGTGGTTTAAGAGAACTTCATTAATATTGTTTCCTGAGCAGACTTGCAACCGCACCGTGCACCACCAGAAGCCTTTTTTTTTTTTTTTTTTTTTTTTTTTTTTTGGACCATTTCTCGATTTATGCATGTCATCCTTGTGCAGGGGCCATGCTAGTCTTCTCTGTATCGTTCCAAATGTAACGGATGCCCTGAAGGACGCAGAAGCTTTTTTCTTTTTGTTGTTAGTTCAACTTAGTTGCTGTTTTCGAAGATGCCGAAGCGTGTACTACCTCAGGAACAGATCCTGCTCAAGTGGAGTCGCACAATTTTATTTTTTAGGTCTCATTGGGCACAAGAAATAGCCTCAAATAGGTGTTTGGGACAGAGTACCAATGGGCCTAGCTTAGTCGGTACACCCGTGATCTGTTGCAATACAGCCCTGAGTTCGAATCTGGAATTAAAATTCTTCTAAATTACCTAGGGCCAGCCGGGCACTGAGGCCATAACTCCACTATACAACATAAGGCCAAGAAAAAAAAAAAAAAAGGTGTTTCGGACAGCAGTGTGGACCGTTAGGTGGCGAAATTACTCTCCCAATCCCACAACAAATTTTCAAAGGGGCGCACCGCTGACCACTGACCCAGGCCTGAGACCCCTTTTTTTTCTGGGTGTCTATTTCCCCCTTGCACCACACAGATCCGGTGCGCTCGTGCGCCTTACGCTGCCATTTGTCTGCATGGTGTGCACTTGGATGTTATGTTCCTGAGAGAGAGATGAGTTACACGACCTGCTTGCAAGCAGCCACGGCAGCTTGAGTTCGATCTGGACAATCGTCTCACTGGTCAAACAGTTTTTTTTTTTTTTGAATATGCAGGTCGCGGAAGCTTGAGTTCGATCTGGCTCTCCTCTGGTAACAACTTGGACAATTGTCTCACTGGTCAAACAGTTTTTTTTTTTTTTTTTGAAGATTGCTAATGATCGCGCAAAGTGAACAAACTTCAACAAAGGCGTTGATGGAGTGTGGAAGGAGTCCGAAGGACATTGGAGGATAGGTAGGAGAGTGGGTCTTCTCTTTCCTTTTTTTCCATCTTTTTTTTGCTTGTCACAGAGTGTGTTCGCCGTTATCATCCAGGTCTGCTGTGTGCTGTTTGGTGCATTAGCTGCCTTTAAACCGCCAGTACTGGGCCCAGCTATCGGCCGCGAAAAAGAAAAGATTAAAAACGTTTCTAGTCGGATCCATTCGGGCGCTCCTGTAGTGGCCCGTACAGTTCCAAAAATTGTGGCTCGTTAAAGGGCACGACTTTTGGAAGTACTGATGGTTTAAGAGTGCCGACACTATACGACTATTCGACGCATATACGATGACGATACGACGAATGCACTATTCGACGCATATACGATGACGATACGACGAATGCACCGATGAATGTACGACGGATATACGACGAATACACAACGAATATACGACGAATACACAACGAATATACGACGAATATACGACGAATGCAGGATGTACGATGAGTTTCAATCCATTTGTGACAGTGGAAGGAAAAATAGTTAAAAAACTTAAAAAAAGTGCATACTCAGCCTAGGTCTTTCCTGGATGTATCTGACCAAGGGCGCAATTACAGACCAGCCTTGATGTGTCGGACCCCGATTACATCCAACAGGAATCAGTTGAAAACATACTCAGGAGTCAGGAGTGAGTACGCTCTCCCTGTGCCAGGCTTAGGGGCAGGCAAGAATCTTAATTTGTTGAGAGCATGCTGAATTTGTGTGGGGATGCATACAAAAATTTCACAACAATGAGAGATTGGACAAGCAGACCACACAGCAGCCCAATCAGTGAACGGAAGGACAGAAGACTGTCAAAAATTTTGGCGAAAACGTCCATAAGCCCATTCTCACACAAGGGGATTTCATGGACTAAATCTTGTCACAATTGCAGTCAGATGCATCAACCGATTCGAAGTCCCGGAGTGCGAATGGCCAAAGATTAAGTGAGGTCTCAGCATGAGCATGGCCTAAGATATGTAATCTCCATAATACTAGCCAGCAGAATCCACAGTGCAGCACACAACCGCGCTACTTCTGTGGAGCTCAAGGAGTAGTATTCCACCTCACAAAGAGCGCACTCCGCACAGACAAGCAGGGCACAAACCATACCCACTGCTGCGGGACAGACCGGCCATGGATATATGGTTTCTATTTCTCGCAAGCAAACAACGAACAAAAAAGACAGAAGAAAGGATTGCAGTTTGGCAAGTCGCAAATAGTTCTCGAGTGTGGCTGAGTGTGGCTATGTTGTACTGTCTTGATACTACGGCGGAACGTTCATCGTGCATTGCGTCTTGTGTATTCTCCCCCGCCACACATCCCCCTCTCCTCACTAACTCTAATTCCGCTGTGAAGTATTATACTAGAGTAACTAGGCCATCCACACGTGACTCCCCCCTCCTAATCTTCCCTAGTCAGCATACATGTGTACCATCGCCAGGGTATATATTACCTCACATTGCCGTGTCCTAATAGAGGCCAAGCCAGATGTGGCTACTCTGCCGCACGAAAGTGGGGAAAGATGTAGAAATAGGTGGGGAGGATCTGAGAGACAGCACATAGTTGTGTCTACCATCAGGATTTGAATTCACGAGCGCTCTTATTCCACAGCTGCATGTGTGTATCATGCAGTTTTTCGACTCGATCTGCATATCAACAGTGTACAGCCCATGGCCTGTTTGTCCACAGCTGCATGTGCGTAACCTTCAGGGCTCGAACACATGACCTGTTTTTTTTTTTTGTTTCTCTCTCTCTCTCTCTCTCTCTCTC